ATGTTTTCTTGGCTCTAAGGTAACACACTGACAATGAAATTTTTAATGGCCAAGGCTTACCCAAAATGTTCTTGCCTCAGTCCCACTGTGTTGGGAGAGCCTTCTGTAGAAATGTGTTGGTCAGCATAAATATAGGGAGTAATACCTTTATTCTGACTAAAGGTATTCTGACTTCTCATTAACAACCCATGAGACTCATCCTCAGTAATAACCCTACAAAGGGTAAAACATGACTTCCCCCTTTTCCTGAAGGGAACAGAATTGGGTTTCAATGTGATGGAAAAAGCAACAGAAACATGGATTCTAGCCCCAGCTCTATTCTCACTCTTTAGTTAGGTAAGCTGAAACAAATCATTTCAATAAATATCAAAAATTCTCAGTCTCCATAACGAGTGGATTGAACAAGATGACCTCTCAGGTGCCACCCAGCCCTTTAATTCTGCAATGGGACCTTCCCCCGCTTTAAATGTTGCCTAAGCAAACTCCCTCCCTTGCCAAGTGAGTGCTGAATGAATTTTAGTCTCTTCCACAGAAGCTGCACATTCTGTGGTGAGAGCATGGATTTCCCACATTCCCTCTCTCCTTGCCCGGCTGCTGCACAGCTCAGGCAGAAATGCTAGAAACTGCAATCATTCATTTCATTTGTGTTTATTCAGTGACTAGATCACACAACTGTCATAGACTTCGCTCTAAGGCAAAGCTGAGGATGAGGTTGATGGCTTTCTTCAGAGTTCAACTGCCACTCCTGCAAGCCAAACTCAGTGTACCCTAAAATCTTATCAAGCATGCTACTAATTTACAACAGTTCACTGATTAATAACACAGTGACCATGACCACAGTGCCTCTCTGAAGGCAGTGTGACTGTCCTTGTTCTTTCTGTAACTATTAAATCACAGTTCAGCCTGGTCACATTAGACATAGCCTGCTATATGCTTAATCAATTCAGTTTTTCCAGGGCCAAATAGTACCAAGACAGTGGCCGATGGGAGAGTCATTTTTACCCCCCATACAGACCCAGGACTTACCTCCCCAAACGGCTTTTCCTGTAACACTTTTGAAATGACATCATAAAAAGGTTAAATTTCACAAGAGGGAATGTCATAATACAGTTCAGAAAGTTGGATATCCAAAATAATTAAAATACGTTTCAAACACTTGGAAAACTCTTGTTATGAAACACTATAACCCCTAATGAGGCCTAGCAAATTAAAAGGTAAGTTCTTTTGGTACATGAACTTCATCTTCTTTATCGTTGCATTCCCAGCACCTACGATGGTGCCTGGCACATAACAGGTGCTAAAAAAAATGTATCAACAGGGGCACCTGGGTGGCTCAGTCATTAAGCGTCTGCCTTCAGCTCAGGCCATGATCCCAGGGTCCTGGGATCGAGCCCCACATCGGGCTCCCTGCTCCGCGGGAAGCCTGCTTCTCCCTCTCCCACCCCCTGCTTGTGTTCCCTCTCACTGTCTTTCTCTGTCAAATAAATAAATAAAATCTTTAAAAAAAAATATATCAACGATTAAATGAGTGATTAAACACCAGAAAAGTGAGATATTATATGTTATCCATGAGAGTAAAGATATGCAGTATATTGCCTGAGAGTATATTGTATATTGAGCATGCACAGAAATGGTAAAAACATTATCTTTCCAAACACTAATTCACCGTGGCAAACAAATTATAAGCAGGGTGGTAAAAGTACACTCCACCCCAAGTCCAGTGTGCCTATAAGTCAAATTGTGGTTTTGTAAGCCTGCATTATTGTGATTCAATACCTCTTTAAAACAAATAATGAGCAAAATGACTCATTTAGAATTTGCAGCAACTTGAAAGGTGACCATGGTTAAATATATTAAAATAATGAAGACTGTTAGTTATTGCTACACACCTTTTTGAAGAAATATTTAATTAAAACAATCTAATTGAGGGGTGCCTGGGTTAAGCGTCTGCCTTCGGCTCAGGTCATGATCCCAGGGTCCTGGGATCAAGCCCTTGCAGAGCCCTTGCATCGGACTCCCAGCTCAGCAGGGAGCCTGCTTCTCCCTCTCCCACTCCCCCTGCTTGTGTTCCCTCTCTCGCTGTGTCACTCTCTGTCAAATAAATAAATAAAATTTTTTTAAAAATCTAATTGATTCACACATCTATATAACAGAGGACTATGTCTCTGTGAAAAAAATTCATAGGCATTCTTTAAAAAAAAAACAAAACTTTCTTTTTATCTCAAACTACCAAATGTTACTGAAATCCTTATTCTCTACAAAAGATTCTCAAAGAACACTGTCATGAAACTGAAAGTTTCCTTCAAGATCATTCAGTACGGGGGCACCTGGGTGGCTCAGTCGTTAAGCGTCTGCCCTCAGCTCAGGTCATGATCCCAGGGTCCTGGGATCGAGCCCCGCATCGAGCCCCGCATCAAGCCCCGCATCGAGCCCCGCATCGGGCTCCCTGCTCAGGGGGAAGCCTGCTTCTCCCTCTCCCACTCCCACTGCTTGTGTTCCCTCTCTCTCTCTCTCTCTCTGTCTCCCTCTGTCAAATAAATAAATAAAATCTTTAAAAAAAAAAAATCATTCAGTACGAACAGCTGCTCATTCTTCTGACCTAAGATGAACTAAAATTAATAGTCAGCATGCCACTGAATCAAATTTGTATTTTTAAGGTGGAATTCTTCCAAACAAAAGATTTCATTTCAGCAAGCTTCTACAATGCATACTAGCAGTTTGCTTAAATGCTCTGCAAAGACTAAAAGCTTAAGCACACGTGGTTAAAAGCTCAACCAGCTGGTGCTCAGCGCCCTAGATGAGAAAGATGGCCACCAAGACCACATTTCGCTCCAGGAATAAATTATGACTCATGTCAGTAATCACCCATTGCTCTAGGCTAGGCATAAGGGGTTCCTCCCAAGACACTGTTGACACTATGCTTATGAAAGTTTGCAATGAGATGATCATTTGCATCTCAAAGAATAGAAACCATTGTCTTTAAAGTTAATACCATATCTCAACTAAACAGCGTAACTGTTCTCACAACTGCCCAAACAAAAATGCTTAAGAAAAAATATTTATCTCATTTTTTAAAAGTTCCCTGCTAAAACATGTTATTTATAGAAACAAACTGACATTTTAGTGTTAGCAAAATAAAACATGCATGTATCATAAATGTTAAAGCATTTGCTGCTTTAAATCATGCTTTAGCATTCCGATTAATCGGAAAGAAAGAAGGAAAGAGAGAGGAAGGAAGGAAGGGAGGAAGGGAGGAAGGAAGGAAGGAAGGAAGGAAGGAAGGAAGGAAGGAAGGAAGGAAGGAAGGGGCGGGCAACCATAATCAATACTTATGCCTTAAAGTGTTTATGTGCAGATTTTGCACAAGGTCAGGGTGGACACAAGTTGAGCGTACCATGCAGTTACCAAGAGGTTCAATACTCTGGGCAGAGTAAGTGGGTAGCAAGTCAAGATGCCTATTATACTGGAACAAGAAATCTATTTCCTACTTAATCTTACTTTAGACCCATTTCCTTTCCTCTAATGTGGTGAGATCATAGAATTCTGGAGTTGGATGCCACCTTTCAAGATAAACTGATCATCCTCTACTTCATGAACTGAGTTCTTGAGAGAGTAAGTGATTTGTCCACACCAGTGGTTGATAGCAGAGATGGGTCTACAACTCAGAATTAAGGCTCTTTAAATGAGCCAGGCTGTTGGTGTCATGGAAAAAGCCCCTTCCCTGCTGGTCTCTCATTTCTACATTTCCGAGTTTTTCTTTCCAACCCACTTCATGGGTGACACTGACTGTTCTACTTCTGTGCATTGCACTGTCCTCCACTATTTCTCACACTTACCTTAATTCCAAAACATAAAGACAGCTCACTGACAACCAACTCTTAAGATAATGTTATCTGGGGACAGTTGAACAACTTCAACAAGACAACTTTTAAAATAAACCGTGCTAAAATTTCCTATAAATTTAAAAAGAAATAGAGAAAGGATTTCTTAAAATTAAATCTTGATCTTACAGGATCCATTCTAGTCCTGTACCCTGACAACTCAGTTATGAACAAAATGCCGAATCAAGTGTGAATAAGGATGAAGACTGCACCAACACATGCAGAGTAACTGGAAATTGTTACGGAAGCCACAGGAGGAAATAAGTATTATTACACGGAAAAAGAAGCGGTCAGGCTCACTTCCTACCCTTAGGAAGGTGCGCAGTCTCGAACCGTCCCCTGCAGTGGCCAGTTCCATCAAGGGACTGAGTGAGGGATTAAGCCCGGGAAGCAAAAGGAGCCCATTCTCTGCGAGGGTCACTGCAGGCCAGGCAGAGGGAAGGGCCCCTGACCCTCCTTTTCCGTAGCCTCCCCACATATACCCGCCCAAGGCCCCCGTCTCTCCCCGCCCCCGCCCCCGCCCCGGGGTACCCGAGCCCTCTGACCTGTGAGATAGTTGGTCCACTTATACAGAACCCCCTCCATGCTTCAGAGCCCGGCGCCGCGCATCCTCCTGGCCGGGCGCCGGCCGCGGTGCTGGGTAGGCGCGGAGCCTGGGCAGCCCCTCCCGGCCCGCCCGGGCACTCCCCGGGCAACCCTGCCGGCACCGAGCCGCCCTCAGCCCGAGCGCGCGCCGCCGGGACGTGGCGGCCCTTAGAGGCCGGGGCGGCGGCCGCCGCGTGGAGGTCGGGGGCTGCCAGGCGCGGGCTCAGACATCCCCGGGCGAGCCTCGGCGGCGGCGGCGGCGGCGGCGACAACAAAATCACGACCGCAACCGGCCTCCGGCTCGCGCTTCCACCACACGGCTGTTCCCTCCCGCGCCCCGGCGCTCCCTCCTCTTAGCCCGCCTTCCTTCCCCCCGGGCTCCCCGTTTGTTTTCATTGACCCCGACGTCGCTTTCACTTCCTGGATGAAAGGGGCCGGCTCGTCCCGAGAAACCCCTCCCCGGCGGCGGGGCAGGAGGAGCGGGCGCGGCCTGCTGCCCCTCCACGGTGCTGGAGGCCGCGGGAGGGGGCTGGCGGCCGCGGCGCACCCTTGGCCTCCCGGCCAGGCCACCTGACCCCGTCTCATCCTCCCTCAGGCCCGCGGCCGGCGGTCCCGGGGCTCCCCACACTTCTCCCCCCGCTCCGGAGAAGCCTGGACGACCGCGCCGTGGGGCTAAAGCCTCCGAGCCCGGATGGGCGGACTCGGACCCCGCGGCGCACTCTGCCCCCCGCAGCCCCGAGGACTAGCTGGCCGCGCACACGTCCCGCGGGCGACGTAGGCCGCTCAGGTTTTCCTATAGCTACGCCTCAGGTCCTTCCGGTGGTTGTTTCAAGAACGTAAAAGAACTACCTATTTATGTTTCCTTCCTACCCTCCCCACATTCAGTGGGCCCAAGAAATTACCTCCTAGGAAGGTATGTCTGTGTGCCGCTGCGAGTCCTCCGGCAAGGAATCGCGAGGGGCCCCAAGAACAGTCACCACGCTGACAATTAACCTTAGATAGCGACTACTTCATTTAGAATATAAAACATGGAACCAAACTTTGGAATTTATTTTATTCTAGAAATAAGGGCTTTCCCCTAGCTTTTATGATTTTAAGAAATCCTGTTTGGAAATGATCATCTTACATAATGACAATAATTCAGATTTATGAAATGCTGCAGGCTTTAAGCAAAGCAGGCCCAGGGCTGCGGTTTTGCTTAGCATAGCCGAGGTAGACGAGGTAGAACGAACTCTCTTCCCAGAACCTAATCCAGGCCTGCGCTGAAGCTTTTCTGATTTGGGTAAAAAGTCTTTGGGTATTCACTGGGAAATCAGGTGAATTGGTGAATGGGTCGAGAGGTTGTGTAATAAGTCGAATATAGTTACATGTTAATGATAGAATCCAAGTGATGGCTAGAAGGCCGCGGTGATGGGGTAATAAAATTCAATTTTTCTGTATGTTTGAAAGTTTTTCATACTAAAATATTGGGTGGGGTAAAGGCTGGTTTTGTGTCAAACTTGGTCAAATTCCTGCTGCGCATTAGCTGTGAGATTGGAACAAAAGGCCCAATACTCAAATAACTTCATTTTCTCATCCGCGCACAGTGGATGGTTACCAATCTCGCAGAGCTGGTAAGAGAAGGAACACCGTCAAGTTTTCCCCCAACGCCCATGGGCCCTCAAATCGAGGGCGGCCCCGAGGGGTTGGGGGATAGAAACACAAACCAGCAGCAGGTCCCAAATCGCTGGAGTTGGCTGGTGGGAAACGCCTTTAAAGCGGCGAGGAGCGGCAACACCTCGGTTTACTCGCGACCGGGTGGCCGTCAGATTGTGCGTGGCTTAGCCTGGAACCTCTTAATGCATGCCTCCACCCCGAGAAGGTGCTTTCAAGGACACCCCAGAAGCAGAATGCTTCCCCCGATGCCCGCCAGTGCCCTAGGGGTCTGAGGAGAAACCTTTTACGCCCAGAAATGACAGCTGTATTCCCTGACTACAACATCCCACCTCCAGGCCGTTTAATTCTTTTGCCGGTTTCATTTTAGGAAACGCGATCATTACCAGCGAACCCTGAGGAAACCTTCTGTAAAATATGCGGATTTAACGAGAAGCGGTGCAAGTGTTCCGTACTGCCTTAGCGACTGATGACAGCCATCCAAAGCGCCGGGTACCAGAGAGACAGAACCCGGGCGGACAGACGAAAATTCTGTGGCCGAGCGCGCCGCCGGAAGGGGGCGGGGCCATAGGTCGGCCCGCCGCCGGAAGGGGGCGGGGCCATAGGTCGGCCCGCCCCCGGCCCTTTGTGACGTGGAACGATGCCTGCCACGCGTCGGAACTCAGCTGCTTTCGCAGCGTCTGGGCACAACTGACACGCGTGAAGGAACGCCGTGTCATCTGAGGCCAACTTCAGGAATCATGCAGTTTCTCTTAAGATTAATCGTTTTCTTTTATGTATGGGGCATTTTTACTGCTCAGGGACAAAAGGAAGAGGAGAGCACAGAGGAAGTGAAAATCGAAGTTTTGCACCGTCCAGAAAACTGTTCTAAGACAAGCAAGAAGGGAGACCTGCTAAATGCCCATTACGACGGCTTCTTGGCTAAAGACGGTTCGAAATTCTACTGCAGGTAGGAAATGCTGTGAATTGCCCCGGTGTCCGGTTGATGCATGAAATCTAGGCTCCCTCTACCAACCAGAAGCTAGTGGTTGGTTAATTGGTTTGTTCTTGTTATTTAACAGTAAGAGTTGAACCTTTTATTCCTGGGGGGGTGGGGAGGGGCATTCCTACTGATACGCAGTAGTTCCCTATTGAACTATTACTTTTTAAATTATTAAAAATGTTGGCCGAAGAGATTGTCGGAAATACACTACATACACACGCACCCCCACCACCGCCACCACCCTTGGGATCCATAGAAGGGTAAGTCATGGTACTGTCTGTAAGGATGTTCTCAGCATTTTTTTTGGCCATTTGTTGGAGTCTCTTTACAGAGGATTAGGTAGGGTAGTTTAAGAGATTTTATCTGGCCTTCAGAAGCATGATATTTACAGACTGAGGGCCACTTTCCAACCGTATCCAAAAACCACGACAATAACTTTCACTGGTGTCTTCTGGGCCCTGTGTTTTCTCATTTCCCCCCTCACCTCACCACTGCCTGCTCTAATTTAATTGAAAGTTTATTACTCAGAGGAAGAATGGCTTTTCTTCATTGGTGCTATTACCCTATAAAGATAGGATTGGGGAAAGTTAGTTCTTTCGATTTGGAAGAAAATAAATAAATTTAATAAGAAAAGATACAAATTTTAATTATTGTTCAAATGACTTTTTGAGGCTAAACCTGCACTATCATTTTTTAGAACAAACTCAGAAAGATTAAATGAGTTATTTGGACAAGCCATGCAGCTAGTTTGAGGCCGGAGACCCATTAAAAAGGTAACTATTGAATAGTTTTTGCAAGATGGCAATAAAAAAGATAATGACATGACTCCTAATGACTAGCTTTGGGCAAATCATACTTCTTTCTGGCTATTATGAAAGAAGTTTGAGCCAAACATCCCGCTAAGGGGTTCAGAATGAATACTAATATGGGACAAGAGAGAAGACTTCAATTTTAAATTATAACCTCATGTCCAGATGTATTTTTTTAAGATTATTTATTTATTTACTTGTCATAGAGAGAGAGAGAGAGAGAGAGAGAGCACAAGCAGGGGGAGCTGCAGGCAGAGGGAGAAGCAGGCTCCCCGCTAAGCAAGGAGCCCGATGCAAGGCTTAATCCCAGGACCCTGGAATCATGACCTGAGCAGAAGGCAGACGCTTAACTGACTGAGCCACCCAGGTTTCCTGTCCAGGTTTATTTTAAAGTTCGATTTCATTTTTCTTAAAATCAGCTTACCTAAGTGTTGTTTTTTATTATAGCCGGACACAAAATCAAGGCCACCCCAAATGGTTTGTTCTTGGTGTTGGGCAAGTCATAAAAGGCCTAGACATTGCGATGATGGATATGTGCCCTGGAGAGAAGCGGAAAGTGATTATACCCCCTTCATTTGCATATGGAAAGGAAGGCTATGGTAAGGTGTTTTAATATTGTATCTCTAAGTTATATTTAAAAATAAATCATAGCTTTGGGTATATATCCAAAAGAATTGAAAGCAGGGTCTCAAATATTTGTATACTCATGTTAATAGCAGGACCATTCATGAATAGCCAAGAAAAGGAAATAACCCAGTGTCCATTGACAGATAAGTGGATAAACAACACATATACACATAAAATAGAATATTATTCAGCCGTAAAAAGGAAGGAAATTATTCTACATGCTACAACATAGATGAACCTTGAGTACATTGACTAAGTGCCCAATCACAAAAAAACACTGTATGATTTCACTTGTGTGAGGTATGGGGAATAGTCAAATTCAAAGAAGAGTGGTTGTCAAAGTGCTGGGGAGAGGGTGGAATAGGAGAAGTAGTTTAATGGGTATAGAGTTTCAGCTCTCCAAGATGAAATAGTTCTGGAGATTGGTTGCACAGCAATGTGAATATATTGAACTGTACAATTAGAATGGTTACAGTGGTAAATTTTATGTTACATGTATTTCCCACAATTAAAAATTTTTGAATCACTAAAAACAACCAAATAAAATAAAAAACCACAGAGGAAATAGTTACAGAATCATAGGGCCCAATAAACTAGCTGTATCTAGTCCAGTCCAGCATGGTCCCCACTTTCTACATATAAAGAAAATAAGACATCGTTGGAAGATAGCTCTCTGACCAGATTTCTTTCCCTCATATAGTGGCAGTACTCATAAAGATCCTGTATATTCTATAAGCTCTACCTTAGTCATTTTTATTTGTTTTAGTACATGTTATTTTATTAATTATTACATAAATGTAATATACCTGAGGTATATACCTGAGGTAAGCAGTACAAAAGTACAAAAGTACAAAAGTACAAAAGTACAAAAGTCAAATTCATGAAACTCGGGAAACTGAAACATATGATCTTAGAGTAAAAGGACAGCACTGGAACGTAGTAAAAAGAGCATCTGAATATAAAAAGCTGTCAGGGCGCCTGGGTGGCTCAGTCGGTTAAGCCACTGCCTTCGGCTCAGCTCATGATCCTGGAGTCCCGGGATCGAGTCCCGCATCGGGCTCCCTGCTCAACGAGGAGCCTGCTTCTCCCTCTGACCCTCCCCCCTCTCATGTGCTCTCTCTCTCTCTCTCTCTCATTCTCGTTCTCTCAAATAAATAAATAAAATCTTTAAAAAAAATAAAAATAAAAAGCTCTCAGTCACTAATCCCCAAATTCAGGAGCAGCCTTGAAATATGGAAGAAATGAACTGCTGCTTTCAATATCTTACCTATTTTTAAAATCCTATTGTAAGATCTGAGAACCTAGGTAAAGCAGATAAATGGGGAAAATTTTTGCAACTACTGTGAAGACTCACTAACCAATAATAAAAATGACCTAGCCCTAGAAATAGGCAAGCAGCCCACTAACAAAAAAAATACAAATGACCTTTAAATCTATGGGAATACTTAGTTTCATTAATAATTAAATAAAGGGAAATCAAAACAAAATGAGACACCATTTTCACTCATCAGATTGTCAAAGGCATAAAAGTTAGCACAGGTATAGAAAACCAGCATTCTCATGCATTATTGCTGGGAATGTAAGTCACTCGACCTTTCTAACCATTTCTATCAAGATTTAAAAGCATAGGGGTGCCTGGGTGGCTCAGTCGTTAAGCGTCTGCCTTCAGCTCAAGTCATGATCCCAGGGTCCTGGGATCAAGCCCCACATCGGGCTCCCTGCTCAGCAGGAAGCCTGCTTCTCCCTCTCCCGCTCCCCCTGCTTGTGATCCCTCTCTCGCTATGACTCCCTCTGTCAAATAAATAAAATCTTTAAAAAAAAAAAAAAAAGATTTAAAAGTACATATCCTCTGACCCAGTAGTTCTAGTTACAGGAATGTACATTCAGGTATATATAAAAGAACATTCATTACGGACTTTTATTTGGTGGCAAAAAACTGGAAACTACCTGAGTATCCATCAAGAGGGAATTAGTTAAATATGGTATAGCTATACAATGGATTATGGTGCAGCCAATAAAAAGAATGCTATAGAACCATATGTATTAATTTGTTAAAAATAAAGTGGGATGGGGCACCTGGGTGGCTCAGTTGGTTAAGTGTCTGCCTTCTGCTCAGGTCATGATCCCAGGGTCCTGGGATCAAACCCGCATTGGGCTCCATGCTCAGCGGGGAGTCTGCTTCTCCCTCTCCCTCTGCCCCTCCTCACCTCCCCCACCCATGCTCATTCTCTCTCTCTCAAATAAATAAATAAAATCTTTAAAAAAATAAAAATAAAATAAAGTGGGATAGAATGTATTCATGCAAGGAGTATTTATTACACATCAATGCCAGGCCCTGTTCCAGGCCTTGAGCATAAGCCAATGTACAAAGAAGAAACCATTTCCTATCCTCAAAGATCTTACATGTGAGGGGGAGAATTTCACATATGCATCATGAATCTACACAGATTATATGTGGAAGGATATATAGTCACCTGATGACATTAAGTGTTCCTGAGAAGGAAACCTGAGGGTCAAGAGTAAGGAGATTTCTTCTTACTCTCCAATATTTTGTACTGTTTAAATTTTTTGCCATGTGCATATATCAACTTTTCCAAAATTAAAAATTTTTTTAATTGCCAAAATTAAAAATGGAGCTGAATAAAGAGGGAAAGTTTTTAAAAGGGGGAAAATGGTCAGCCTGGCAGAGGGATGGTTTTTACTTTGCATTCTCAATTAGGTCTTTGCTCGCTGTTGCTGTGTGAAGACTATAAAGAATCATTTCCTCCTCATAATATTTAGAATCCTTGCTAACTCCACCTATTTGAAATATTTAGTATATAATTGAAGTCATTAAAGATTAGTTTTCTACAATGAGATACTGTCATTACTCCCAAATATTTCGTTGAATGGCACACTCTCTTTGAGGCTGTTTTGTTAATTCATTAATAGTAGCAATCCCCTCACCTGTTCTTTCCAGCAAGAGCAGGGGATCCCTGCCCCAAACTGGATTGCAGGGAGGTTAGTGGCACAAGGCAGACCCAATCAGACTGAAAACTCCTAAGGAGACAGTTCCAGGTAACTACAGCTTCGTTCTCAATGCTTTTGGCCAGTCATTTGGTCCCATCAAATAGCTTCCATGGAACCATAATTTGTACATCCTATTTTTAGTTGTAGAGGAATCTGGGAGAGGGAGAGAAAAAAAATTGAAGATAAATTAAATTGAATGTAATACTTGCCCAAAAATATTGTCATAAGTTGAGGCCAATTCCAGGCAAGATGATACAGGCAAAGTTTGCCTTTTAGACTTTTTAATCTCATTTTAACCACATCTCTCATCAATATGTGCTCATCCATTCTATCGGGCCCCCTTTCCCTATAGCAAATGACCACTTAGTTATCCTTTTTGTAAACTAGTTTATGCTTAGCTATGAATGACTACCCAGGCTGCCTAAGCTATTAATAAACCAGACCGTTGCTGCAGAGAGGTACAAGTTTAACTTTGAAGAAGTTAGTTCGTATTCAGTTTGAGGTGTCCCCAATAAACATAAAAATGATGAATCTCATTAGTAACACCACCAGCACTTTTGTTTTACACATAAGGAAACTGTGGCCCAACAAAAGTATGTTCTTTGGAACATACTTAATTGCTAGCTTACCTGCATTACAATAGGTAGGATTAGATTACGTAAAAATTGCGGTGGAGCATTACAATAGGTAGGATTAAGTTATGTAAAAATTGCAGTGGAGACCATACATAACGCTTAACAAACCACTTCTTGTCAAATAAGCTTTTTTAAATAAGTTGTTATTGAGACCTAACATGAGCTCTAACTTTATTTTAGGCAGTACTTGAAGAAGGCTTTCCTCTGTGCAGTACCCTTTCTTCATATGACAGAGCACCCTGCATGTCCTGAAATGCATGTGACTTTTAGTGCTTTAATTAACAGTACAGTGGTATGTATAGATTCTTTACATTAACTCCTACGTCTTTGATCTGCTTCTCTAAATACAAGTAATTCTATAGCAAATTCACCTTTTTCTCCTTTTTATGCTCTAATTTCTTTGTAAGACAAAACCTAATTGGCAGTATTTTCTGTATTTACAGTACAATTATTCAGAAACTTCATATGTACGTGTAATATTTTCTCTTAAGAAATTTGAATTTGTGTTTTGAGGTTGTCTTTATTATCATTAGTTATTCCCCTGTTGTAAGGAGATTGTAACTGGACAGAATAAGAATGGATTTTGTAAAAATGATCATTTTTTTTTTCTATTTTTTTATTTTTCTTTTTTTATTCTAAAGTCAGGTAATAGGTGGTTACATAGCTTGGAACTTCATTAGTCATAGGATGCATGAGTAGATTTTTCTGTGTCCTGGCTTTGGAGATGACGGATCCAGTTCTCCTTTTGGCTATAACTTTCAAGCTCTTTTCTTTTTGGGTTATATAAATACTTTAGCAAGAATTCTGTACTTTCATTAAAGAAATTACTATTTCCTTTAGAGAACAAGCAGCCATTTTAAAAATAAGCCATAGGGGCATTCGTTCAACAAATATTTGAGTGCCTATAATGGACGAGACTCTGGGAGACCCTGGGCAATACTGGTGACACAAACTAACCCCTGCCTCTTAGCACATCATTTCTACAGGTTATTTTTATGAAACGGCCATCTGAAATAGCCCAGAGCTTGCTAAGATCATCTGTGACATCATGTCACAGATGAGTGAATAGGTTAACTTTATTCAAGAGGACTGTTCAGGGGCGCCTGGGTGGCTCAGTTGGTTAAGCGACTGCCTTCGGCTCAGGTCATGATCCTGGAGTCCCGGGATTGAGTCCCGCATCGGGCTCCCTGCTCGGCAGGGAGTCTGCTTCTCCCTCTGACCCTCCCCCTCTCATGCTCTCTGTCTCTCATTCTCTCTCTCTCAAATAAATAAATAAAATCTTTAAAAAAAAAAAAAAAGAAGAGGACTGTTCAACTTAATAAAACTTTTTATTGTGATTAGAGATTTTATAAAATTGTTACTGTTATTCTGTCATTGCACTTATTTTTTAATGTCTACAAAGGATTTGAAATACATTGAAACATATGTTTTATTCATGCTTCCAAATAACTATACAATATCATATTTTTTTTTAAAGATTTTATTTATTTGAGAGAGAGAGAGAGAAACAGCATGAGAGGGGAGAAGGTCAGAGGGAGAAGCAGGCTCCCCGCTGAGCCGGGAGCCCGATGTGGGACTCGATCCCAGGACTCCGGGATCACGACCCGAGCCGAAGGCAGTTGCTTAACCAACTGAGCCACCTAGGCGCCCCTACAATATCATTTTTTAAAAGATTACTGATTTACACTTTGAAATTTTTCTGCCCCTGCATTTCTTCTCTGCACTAGCTCTCTTCTGTATAATAATGGGGCATATTAATAAAAATTTCATGAGTTGTATTTATTTTAATTCAATCAGGAAATAATGACCCACGAGGTCCTTAAAACTGATTTGGTTTAAAAACATGGAAAAAGGGCGCCTGGGTGGCTCAGTTGGTTAAGCGACTGCCTTCGGCTCAGGTCATGATCCTGGAGTCCCGGGATCGAGTCCCGCATCGGGCTCCCTGCTCGGCAGGGAGCCTGCTTCTCCCTCTGACCCTTCCCCCTGTCATGTGCTCTCTGTCTCTCTCATTCTCTCTGTCTCAAATAAATAAATAAAATCTTAAAAAAAAAAATCTTTAAAAAAAAAAAATGGAAAAAAATTACTTAAAAGTGTTTGGTAAGCAGTTTTTATAAATATGAAATAATATAATCATAATGCTGTAATGGCTATTCATGAATAAATATTTGAACATTATCTTCATGTAAGTTAAACTGTTAAAAATTATACCTTTAGCAGAAGGCAAGATTCCACCTGATGCAACATTGATTTTTGAGATTGAACTTTATGCTGTGACCAAAGGACCACGAAGCATTGAAACATTTAAACAGATAGACACGGACAATGACAGGCAACTCTCTAAAACAGAGGTAATTCAAACAAATTCCATGTGTACAGTCTATTTTTTTCATCACAATTTAAATACATCTCTGTTACATCTGTTATTTTTTAGTTCTGCTGAGCATGGGCTGATTACTTTGCTTTTATAGAGCTGGTTACTAAAAAATCTAACCTCCAAGAAGAAAATGTGCTTTTTCAATATAAAACTTGTAATGAGTCATCCTGTTCAGTTGCCTTTCTCCCTGCCAGAGGGTCATTAAAATACCAAGCTAGGGGCGCCTGGGTGGCTCAGTCGTTAAGCGTCTGCCTTCAGCTCAGGCCATGATCCCAGGGTCCTGGGATCGAGCCCCACATCGGGCTCCCTGCTCAGCAGAGAGTCTGCTTCTCCTTCTCCCATTCCCTCTGCTTGTGTTCCCTCTCTCGCTGTGTCTCTCTCTGTCAAATAAATAAATTAATTTAATTTAATTAAATACCAAGCTAATCTCTACAGGGCATTTCCACCTTAGGCTACAAGAAGAGAGCTTTTTCAAGCAGCACCATAGGAATTTGTAACAGTGCAAATAATTTCTACCTCACAGGGTTGTGGGGATTACATGAGATTAGGAAAAGAGCTAGCAAGAATTTGAATGGTGTGCACTAGAAAGTTGTAAGCAGGAGCCAGGAGTTCATGAACTAGCTTCTGCGTTCCAGTTAGTCTTTTTTTTTTTTTTTTTTTTAAAGATTGTATTCATTTAGGGGTGCCTGGGTGGCTCAGTCATTAAGCGTCTGCCTTCAGCTCAGGTCATGATCTGGAGTCCTGGGATCAAGCCCCACATCAGGCTCTCTGCTTGTCGGAAAGCCTGCTTCTCCCTCTCCCACTCCCCCTGCTTGTGTTCCCTCTCTTGCGGTGTCTCTCTCTGTCAAATAAATAAATACAATCTTTAAAAAAAAAAAAGATTGTATTCACTTACTTGTCAGAGAGAGTGAGCACAAGCAGGGGGAACGGCAGGCAGAGGAAGAAGCAGACTCCCCGCTGAGCAGGGAGCCCGATGTGGGACTCAGTCCCAGGACCCTGGGATCATAACCTGAGCGCAAGTCAGATGCTTAACTGACTGAGCCACCCAGGCGTCCCTCCAGTTTTTCTTATATATGAATTGAGGGATTAATAAAGATGTCAGAACAATAATAGTCATCTTCTTTTGTACTTTCTCAGTACCAAGTACTACTATAAGCACATTAGTATGTGAACTCACTTAATCTTTATGACAGTTTATGAGATAGACACTTGTCATTATCTCTATGTTATAGAAGGGGGAAATGATGCCCAGACCAAGTAACTGGCGTAAGGTCACACCACTCTAAGTGGCAAAATCAGACTGCAACCCAGCAGTCTGGCTCTGCTATTTTGCTCTTTCTTTCTTTCTTTTTTTTTTTTTTTAAGATTTATTTATTTATTTTAGAGAGAGGAGGGGCAGAGGGAGAGAGGAACTCAAGCAGACTCTGTGCCAAGCATGGAGCCTGACACAGGGCTCGATCTCACAACCCTGAGATCAGACCTGAGCTAAAACCAAGAGTTGGCTGCTTAACTGACTGCACTAGCCAGGCACCCTGCTACTTTGCTCTTAACCATGGCCTACCCTGCCTCTGTCAGGGGAGTTTCCAGCATAGATGTTTCAGGGCTAATGTTTGTACTGTTGAAGGCTGGTGCCTTACTTAGTCCCACTGACTATACCCTTTTTGCTTAAATTGAATAACCCAGTTGTCTCCCCTCTTATTTGGAGACAGTTTAACATGCATGACTCTACCACCTAAGGAACAGAAGGTACGTGAGTCATTGATTTCAAGAGACAAGTAAGCCCCCTTTCTCTGTTTCTTTTTCCTCTCCCTCTCCCGTCCTTCCCCCACCCTGATTCTACTTCCTCTTCCAGGATATTAGTAAGGACTTTCCCCTGAAGCTCCTTTGTTGCTCAGCCGTGGAAGAGGGATATGTGAATGAAAAGATCCCCTGTTCCTTAAGAAGAAGGACAATCAGAGGGGTGGCAAATCCATGCCAGCACATACTTTGCGTTGACTCCTCATGAGTTTTAGAGTAAACAGCAGCAGATGAATTCACACAGCACCCGAGAGCTCAGCCAGGGCACATAGACCATTCGTTACCAAATGAACACAAAGAGGCACATTCTGCAATATGAAGACTCTTCAGTAGGTCTTGTGGGATCTTTAGTTCTTTCTGGAAAATAAAGGTAGAGAAAGTCCAAAACAGTGACCTGCTTAGCAACAGTCTGTCCAGATGTCTTTCAGGTATCAGCTGCATTATCACTAGATGGTAAGCGTGACTTTCACATGCGTGAATGATAATAACTGTCTTTCACCGACATCTATAAACATTACTCTAATCCTCACATCAATACTACCAAAGAGATACTGTTTCCCTCCTTTTACAGATGACAAAATTGAGGTCCAGAGAGGTTAAACTATTTGTCCAAGATCACACAGCAAGTACATGACAAAGCCTAGATTTGAAACATGAACTAAAACTACCTCCCTTCATCATCAGAAAGATTGAGTCAATTATTTCTTTAGTATAAGGTGAGAGAGAAGAGGAACACAGTATTTTTCTTAAATTATGAAGTAGAAATAGTGTGGAACTCATTGCCAGCAAAATTAAGGTTATGTTCTTACCCGCTGCCTTTTTGTACCTCTCTACTACAGTGTACTAGAAAAGTACGTCCTGAGAGCCAGTAATATTGGTTATGAAAATCTATTTACTTAGAAACTGAGGAATATTTGAGGTTCTTTAAAATTCTTTTCACCTACATAGGATTGCTAAGGCTCAACTGGAAGAAAAAATGTATCTCCCTCAATAGGACTGAAGTCTCACTTGAGAACAGTTGATCTATCCTTCATTAAGATCTACTGATCATTCTAAAATAAAGTCTACTCATGATGGACTGAGTTGGGATACATACTGCTAAAAACCTGTCAGAGTTCAACTTCAGCTTTCAAAAATACTCTTGCCTTTAAAATACCCAGACTTGCTGAACAGCAGTTCCAGATTATTGCACATTGCTTTCTTTAGTTATTATATATATTAGTACTTTCCATTGGAAATAGAATTGAGTCAAATATATATATTTTAAAAATTTTAGTAGCCACATCTTAAAAAAGCAAAAAGAAACAGGTGAAATGAATTTTAATACTGTTTTATCTAACTAAATATATCTAAAATATTTCCCTTTCAACATGAAATCAATGTAAAAATTATCAATTATTTTTTATTGTCTTTAAAATTTGTTGTGTGTTTATCCCTTAGAGTAGCATATCTCTGTTTGATCTAGCCATGTGTCAAATGTTTGGTAGTCCCATGTGGCTAGTAGAAATGTCATATTATACAGAGAAAGAATACTTAATACCTGTTCTTTATTTGTTCTTATTATTATAGAGATTGCCATAGTTATGTAGATTTGAAGGAGAGTTATAGAAGCATAGAAAAATTAGGAAAATTAAATTTTATTTCAAAACCTATGGTTGAATTTTATTGATAATACAATATATGCATTAATTTTAGAGATTATAAAAATGCCAATTTGGGTTTTATTCACTAATTATTAGAAATCTTTAAGAATGATTTTCCTGATTTTCCTTTCATAATGTGGACAGTATAGATTATTGGAAAAGTTTCAACAAAACTCAATTCAGATGTCAATCTTTGAGTATGTACCCCTAACCATCTATAACCTCAGGCGAAGCTAATTTGAAGATGTTTCTTTTCAGAAAAATTGCTTCACAGGTTAAAGGAATAAAACCTTAAACAGTTTTTAAAATTTTTATATCACTTATTGTAAGTAGCCTTAGAGTTGAGTTTTCTTATGTAAACATTTCCTTAAAGTTACTGAAAATTTACTGTGGTACTTTTTTGTTAAAGCCATTATTTTGGCCCTCTAGATAAATCACTACCTGAAAAGGGAATTTGAAAAAGATGACAAGCCACGTGACAAGTCATATCGGAATGCAGTTTTAGAAGATATTTTTAAGAAGAATGACCATGATGGTGATGGCTTCATTTCTTCCAAGGAATACAATGTATATCAACATGATGAACTATAGTATATTTTTATTTCTAAATTGTCTTTACTTACTGTACTTTATATATAAAACAAAGTCACTTTTCTAGAACTTGTATTTTCTGTTTTCTTCCCATGAGAACATATTTTGATCCCCTCAATACATGTAATTTTGACATAATAAATGTGCATTATTTTGCAAATTTAACATTCAGGAAAGGTATAATTGTGTTTCCTACTGCTTTATTCTGTGAACACGAATTGCAGCACCATGAAATAGACCTCCATGTCCCAGTGGTCAGTTCTCCCCCTTCAGGAGATAGGAGGACACCTATGTCAAAATTTACAAATTCTTCCCAGCTCTAACCTTAACAACATGTATAAATATTTAAATATCCAACTTTTAACGTTTGATTGTAAAAATGCCCCATATATTGAAAATATTCATTAGGACCCAGGAATGAACATTTCATTTGTTTATACATTTCATAGCATTACAAAGAGAGGGATATAAAAATCAGAGGACTAAACAAATTTTCCTTTTGTATGCATATAGGAAAATACTAGTTGTATAGCTCTGTCCCATAGAGAGCCTTAACACAGTCTCTGTACTTTCTGGTGCAAGCTCTGGCCTTTGGTCATTATTCCAATGGAGAATGTTTATTTTTTTTTTAAGATTTTATTTATTTATTTGAGAGAGAGGAAGAGAGCACAAGCTGGGGGAGGGGCAGAGGGAGAGGGAGAAGCAGGCCTCGATCCTAGGACCCTGGGATCATGACCTGAGCCGAAGGCAGACACTTAACAACTGAGCCACCCAGGTGCCCCTTCAATGGAGAATGTTTAAAGGTAATTGATCAGACCAAAGACTTTGTGCCTCTTACATAGCAGACATAATGAAATCATACTGCTCTGAGTCTGTACTCCTTTAGAGATCATTATAAATGTGCTACCTCCTCTTCCTTCTTGTAGGCCTTTAGATCTACCATCCCTAACTTTTTGTCTTGATCGTTTTAAGTTAATGCCATGGTATTTCTTAGTTTCCAGTTCCCTTTCTCTATGTACCTCTATCCTATGTCACTTCATTTTACGATATTCTTGTTCTTGATCATGAATGAGCATTACAAACTGCTACCCCATCAAATTTTTGAAAATGCGTAGAATTTATTTTACACGTGAGGATATCAAATGAGGATACAAACGGGGATATACACTGCAATAACAGTTTTGTGTCATGGTCAAGCCATGACATCCAACTTGTTGAGAATAGGAGGTAAGAGATGCTGTAGAAGATCACCCTGGTGTCAAAGAAAGTGCACGTTATTTATTGGACCACGTAAGGTTTTGCCCACTGCATATGTAGAAAGGTATGGTCAAGATTAAATAGCTCTGCTCTAAACAAGTGAGTTCAAACCAAAGCTTTTTCCATTTTCTGAAACTTACTCTTTCCAAACCATTGTTCAGTGTTCATCTTTTAACCTCTTTAGATACACTGCCAGAAATTCTATTATCTAAAAGTTCAGGGGTAACGCAAAAAACACCAGATTAACAGATATCACATATGCATAGCACAGAGTTTGACACTTCATAAAACCAAAACCTTTGCTATCTTTCCTTTCCTCCCAAGAGTGCTTCATCATGCCTGTACCTAATTTTGTAACTCCTCACTTGCTCAATGGCCAATTCTTGTTCCTTGACTTCCCTCAGGAAAACCTGCTCTGTTGAAATGAACGAAGTTGGTGACTCCATATTATGTTTTGGTTTGGAAACTGCCCCCGTTTTCTATATAAAAAAAAGTCACTAGAGCATTTTGCAATCAGTATACTCATATTTGCATTTGACTCATATATTCTTCTCAAAACACAAATACAGTGGAAGAAGATATACATGGAAATCATTCCATAACACATTCTGTTCATAATTCTATCCTTTCTGTCCCATTGTTTTCCAAGTGCTTTTAAACTTATGTTTTTAAAAATTATAGATGATGTAAAATGGAGATTGATTCTAAAACTCTAATCACATTTAAATAAATAAAATTTTAATCATTCTACGTAACTAATCAGGTATTTTGTAGTTACACGATTGCTTTATGCTTTCATAGGCATATACCGAGTAGTGATTGCTGTCACTACATTTTGAGTTCTAGAATTTTCATTACTTCTGCAATTATTTTAATAAGGGCATGTAATAAATTAATAATTTAGGCTGTTTGTCGATGAAAAATTTCAGATGTCTTATAGAGTAGCTGAAAAAGATCTCTCAGAACTGAATATGTTAAATATTTTAAACATATTCAAAGGAGAAAGAATAAAGGTGTCCTAGCTGCCTTAACTTTAAAATGACAGTAATGAGTTTTTATAAAGACAAAACTAGTGAGCATGTGTACATCACACAATGGCATACTGCTATCAGTCACCCTGTGAACTGTGTCCATAAAACCCCACACTGAGCCCAGTGTGCTTTTCATCTGATACCACAATTAAACATTTAGGATTATATTAAATTATTAACACATTTTCCTCATTTTACCAGACCTAGGGCAATGATTCAAGCACCATAAAGTCACCACTTTTAACCTCCTGTCTTTCTTAAATATTAAAATTCAATTAAAGATAAAATTGATATTTAGAAAAATCACTATGTAAAGTTATCTAAAACAATAGCCGAATCCCAAATATAGTTCTAAAGTAACTGGAAGATTTCATGAAGGAACATCTATATTTTGAATTTTGCATTTAAACCTTTTTCACATAAGTAATATTAATCTTTATGATAATCTATAGGGCAGACTCTATTATCATCTCCACGTTTATAAATGAAGAAAATGATGCCCGGACAGGTTAATTTCTCTTTCTTCTCCCTCTTTAATTTGCCACAATTCATCAAAGCATACCTGGATGATTTTGGAAAGATGTGTGGCACAGTTGCACCTAAAACACTACATTCAGGGCGTCTGCCTTCGGCTCAGGTCATGATTCCAGGGTCCTGGGATCGAGCCCCACGTCGGGCTCCCTGCTCGGTGGAGAGTCTGCTTCTCCCTCTCCCTCTGCCTGCCTCTCTGCCTACTTGTGCTCTCTCTCTATCTCTCTGTCAAATAAATAAATAAAATCTTTAAAAAAAAAAAAAAAAAAACCCACTACATTCACTTTCCATTTTATTTCATCCTCTTGTGCCAAACATCAAAACAAGGAACCGCATGAAGTCTCACATACTTATGCCCATCGACAGAGCACTGAAAGCACCCATAAACCGTCTCCCTTTTAAAGTTCCCCATTCCACAGAGTACGCAAGGTCCTTTTGGAATGTTGTGATTAAGCAAGTTAACTCGGATATGAGTCCCTTCTTTGAGAGAAATATCAGTCATGCTGAGAGGTTTGTCATAGTAGTCAGAAAAAAGATCATCTAAGTACAGCTGTGAACGAGAAATGGCATCCATCACTCTTCTATCTGAAAGCACAAAAACAGAGAAATGTGTTAGAAGTCGCATAAGAAATATAAAACCAACCCGCCTTTATACGTACGTGAATCTAAACCATCAGTCATGGAATGATTTGGCTTTTAAATTTAAATTCCTCCTTAACAGACAAGGAGTACTGATTGGATAAATTCGAGTATTAACCCGAGAAGAAAAGAAACATTTGGAATACTCTTCAACAGACATACTTCTCTCAAATAGAATATTCCTCAGCCTGTAGAGCAGCGTGAATGTTGGGGTTTCTTCCCTCTCAAATCCTCCTTTTGACACTGAAGTGACACAAAGGTCTATAAAAAAAATTTTTAGATGTTATAACTTGAACAACTCATTTAATTGCGAGTTTTAGTTGTGGCTGATGAATCCTGGTACATGCCATTCACTGTATTTTTTAAGTTAAATTTTATATGTTTTTGGAAAAGCTAATATTCACATGGTACAAAATCCAGACTACAAAAGGGGGATACAGTAACAAGTCTCCAGTCTACCCTGGACCCCAGCCTCAGTTTTCCACCCCAGAAGTGACCACTGTTAAGTTTCTTAAGTATACTTCCAGAAATACTCCATATATTTTACAAGCATAAAAGAATATATATATGTATGTATGTATGTATGTATGTATGTATGTATACACATAAAATTATTTAGGCTCAAATAGTTATATACTATGCACATTTCTTTAAAATGTCCCCTAGACGTTATTCCATGTCAGGCTCTATACCTCATTCTTCTTAATGGCTTCATAGTATTCCATAGTTATGAATGTACCATTATTGAACTAGTTACTGATAATAGATCTTAAGGTTATTTCCAGTCTTTCATTATCACTAGCTGAATATCCTTATACCCATATCACTTCCCATATGTGTAAGTATATCTGTAGGATAAATTCCCCAAAGCATATGCACATTTTAAATTTTGATAGCTATATCAGTTCTATCAGTTTATACTCCTCCTAACAATCAATATAATTGTAAAAACCTACATCTGAAGCGTCCCAAATAGACTGTAATTAGCATGTTTTGTCATGTTTCTGGACTCCCTATTCTCTCCTCCCATAGAACTACAGAAACAAAAACAGGTCTAAAAATGCTTATAAATTACCATGGCTAGGGGTCTCCCTTGCCTAGTCCTTTGAGGTGGCTGGCCTCCTAATCTTAAAGACCTGTGAAATGTCGAAGTCTAAAGTGAGCTGCACTGAGGTATTATATAAGGTATACAGGTATTCTGTAAGGTATATAAAGACAATTTTACGGTAAGTGTTTATATTGTCAAAGTTATTTTTTAGGGAGAGTTGGGGGGGAAGCTGGGTCTATGAGAGGTAAAACTGAAAAGAACTTGTCTTTGGCTATCTTAGCTTGGACGCCCTGACACCGACAGGCATCTTAAATATCTACCCACTCCTCTATTTGCCATCATCAAAAACGACCTATTAGAAGATCATCTATTATCTCCCCATGTAAGTCAAGGAATACTTTGTCAGTGGATTGCACTTGAGCTCTTATCTATAATCCTAAGTGGGGTGGTAGGGAGTCTGCAGCTCTCACCAAGAAGCAGAAAAGAGGTAGTGGGTAAATAGGACCAGAGGGTCCTTCCCAGCTACTGGGAAGGCATAAGATTGACAGTGCTGTGAATATCTTCTTCCACAATTACACAGAGAGAGTATGTATGTGCTTGTTTCTCATTAAATTCTTCTTAAAAGTATAATCATTTCAGGGTTGCATGCAAATCATTCACTTACCAAAGGCACCATCCAAGTAAATGAAGAGTTCAAAAACGCTGAAAGCTATGGTTGTGTGTGCTGGAAAAACAATAGCTTTGTCCCTTCCCTTGGGATTCTGTTCATCCGTAAAATGAAACTATAGTAAATAAGTAAATAACATTATTAAGGAGGATAACACACAAGGATAGCTTTTTAGAGAAACAAAACATCTCATACAATCTTACTATTAAGACAAAAACCAATTACCCCATTGAATTTAACCAAGTCCAAATGGTCCAGTGGGGTCTCACGATCTAGGGACTACCACGCACCACCACCTTCTCACTAACATTGGTACTAGGGCCAATGATTAGTGCAACCGCAACAGTAATGTTGACATAGACACCTTTTCTTTCAACCACAAACCAACTATTTAAGTGCTACAGTTATTTTCAGCCTACTCTGTCAATTGTTCTAAAGCCCCTGGAGTTTTCAGCAGCTTTCCAAAGCAATCATCAACTTCTTTACCAAAAAAATCTCCAACAATTAAATAAGTGTTTCAGTTTGTGCCCCCAGAATGGTCCAGTGTTACACAACTCACCGGACAGCTAAATGTAGCCACTGAACAGAACTTTTATTTGCAAAGATTCCTGAAGTTTTTCATTGAACTCTTTCTAACAACTGATTTTAATAAGACCAATCAAGCCATTATTATGTGTCATTACTATATGAATGACAAAGACAAATAATGCTAAGCTGAGAACTAAACACAAATAACTTCCAAGAGTGTTTTTTAAGGTATTTAACATTGAATGAAGCATGTTTTTTTAATTTTAGAAAAATTAAAATAATATAAAATCAACTTTTAAAAATTCAAGTATAAAATACATCACTTAAAAAGAAAATCAAGAATTCAACATAAGCATTCAACTTGTATTCTTTTTTTTTTGAAGATTTTATTTATTTATTTGACAGAGAGAGAGAGACCGCGAGAGAGGGAACACAAGCAGGGAGAGTGGGAGAGGGAGAAGCAGGCTTCCCTCAGGGCAGGGAACCCCATGCCGGGCTCAATCCCAGGACCCTGGGATCATGACCAGAGCCTAAGGCAGACGCTTAACGACTAAGACACCCAGGCGCTCCTCAACTTTTATTCTTAAAACATCATTTAAAGCTCTTTTTCTATGGGAAAAAAAAAAAAAACAACCATCATTTAAATAATCATAGGAAGGACTCCAGTATACATTATTTCATAAGGATTAATGTTTTGTTTGTATTATAATACACATTTAGAATCGAAGTTTTCTTGGATTTTTTAAAAATTCTAAAACAAAACTATCACTGTGCAAAATCCTATATACACTTGTAGCTCTTTAATCTCAACATTTGACAAAATACACACATCTCTTTAGAAATTGAGTACTTTTTAAAAAAATTCCCATTGCACATTTTTAGCAAGAGAAACCTAATGAGGGGCGCCTGGGTGGCTCAGTTGGTTGAGCGACTGCCTTTGGCTCAGGTCATGAGCCCAGGGTCCTGGTATCGAGCCCCACATCGGGCTCTCTGCTCAGGGGGAAGCCTGCTTCTCCCTCTCCCACTCCCCCTGCTTGTGTTCCCTCTCTTGCTGTGTCTCTCAATGTCAAATAAATAAAATCTTGGAAAAAAAAAAAAAAGAGAGAGAAACCTAATGAGTGTGGTTTACCCGCATGGCTTCCCCGCGAATTCCAGCATGCACAGACAGTGAGCACTGTCGTGTAGTTCGAATGCTTTCCATGACCACACACAATACTGCCTTTCTGCTGCTCCTTGTCTGACGTATCAAGCTGTGGTCAAAATTAATTTTTCTAGAATAAAGATAGAGATAGTCACAAGAATCTGTCACATCTAATTACATATAATTGAGTACATTTCTTTTTTTTTTTTTTTTTTAAGATTTTATTTATTTACGACAGAGAGAGACACAGCAGGAGAGGGAACATAAGCGGGGGGAGAGGGAGAGGGAGAAGCAGGCTTCCCGCTGAGCAGGGAGACCGATGGAGGGCTCGACCCAGGACCCTGGGATCATGACCTGAGCCGAAGGCAGACGCTTAACGACTGAGCCACCCAGGTGCCCCAATCGAGTACATTCTTGCTGTCATGTGTTACTCATTCATGGTCCACCTTAACTAAAAGTAAATCAAGGCAGGTCTAATACAAATCAGAAAATATGCTCAATAGCTACTAGTAATCTGCCTCTCCTTTCACTTTTCTTAAAACCTGCTTATTATAGGAGACTGTCGGAAGAGATTCCTTTAGTATATTTGTTGCAAGCAGATTAGTGTATTCCTTTTTTTTTTAAGGACTTATTTTTATTAGAGAGAGCGTGCAAGCAGAGGGAGGGGCAGAGGGAGAGGGACAGAGAGAATCCTCAAGCAGACTCCCTACCAAGCACAGAGCCAGACACAGGGCTCAATTCCAGGACCCTGAGATCATGACCTGAGCTGAAATCAAGAGTCGGCTGCTTAACCGACTGAGCCACCCAGGCACCCCAGTGTATTCTTTTAATCTAATAATTTAGCAAATGGGTACAGGACCAAAGCAATTTTGTGGAAAAATTAAAAATTCTGTTTACACCAAGTGATTCTGGATATCTACCCATATCTAAAGTCTGGATGTATTGCTAATTTGTAGTTTTTCCAACAAATAAAACAAATAAATTATCCTGAATGCTTTCAGCATTCTTTATAACAAAGTTTATACAATTAAAATATTTAATGAAAACACTGAAGCGGGGCGCCTGGGTGGCTCAGTCGTTAAGCGTCTGCCTTCAGCTCAGGTCATGATCCCGGGGTCCTGGGATCGAGCCCTGCATTGGGCTCTCTGCTCAGCGGGAAGCCTGCTTCCCCCTCTCCCACTCCCCCTGCTTGTGTTCCCTCTCTGGCTATCTCTCTCTGTCAAATAAATAAATAAAATCTTTAAAAAAAACACTGAAGCATATTATTATTCTACTGACCGTGTAGTAATTTCCTTGAGTAACGTTGATACTTCCACTTCATGTTTGGTCACCACACCAAATGAAGCTTTAACTGCAACAGAATCTGATCCAGTGACGTTAATCCCAACATCATTCACAATATGGTTGCCTCGTCTTCCATAGAGGGAAACATCTGATTCATCTTCATAATTCAGTAACTGATAAGATGAAATACCTTTATGGAAAGGAAATCAATATTTTTAAGTGTCTTGATTTCATCTAACATAGATTATATATAGTAATGCATTAATTTAGTATTTAAGACTCCCTTACATAAATGTTGAGAAAGGTGACATCTCAAGCCAAGATTTAAAACAGCAACTCATTTAAATTAAAAAACAATAAATATATTTACATAAATTATGACTTTATTGTTAAAACATGTAAACACTTTTTTTGAAGATTTTATTTATTTGACAGAGAGAGAGAGAGTGTGCGCAAAAGCAGGGGGGGCAGCAGAGGGAGAAGGTGAAGCAGGCTCCCCGTTGAGCAGGAAGCCTGACATGGGGCTCGATCCAGGGACCCTGGGATCATGACCTGAGCCGAAGGCAACGCTTAACCAACTAAGCCACCCAGGCGCCCCCAAACATGTAAACATCTTAAAACATGTAAAATATCACTCCTGCTAGAAAATGAACTTTTTTAAAAAAATTAATTTTTTTATTTGAGTGTAGTTAACACACAATGTTACATGAGTTTCAGGTATACAGCATAGTGATTCAACAAATTTATGCGTTATGCCATACTTACCACAAATGTAGCTACCATCTGTCACCATATAATACTATTAAAATATTATTAACGAAAAAAATTTTTTTAATTAAAAAAATAAAATAGCAACTCAATTAATTTAACAACAACCAAAAGATAGAGTACTTAAAAGAGAACTCAAGTTCTTTGTTCCACCAAAAGAACTCTGTAAGCTGTAAGATCCACTGAGTGGTTGAAAGAAAATCAGTGTTTACAACAAATAATTTGTCAAAATGTCAATTCATTTTCTAATCTAGCCTGTAAAATACATTTCAGTTTACCAACTACAATAACTAAATCATAAGAAATAAATGTAAATTACTTTCATCTCATTTGACCCTGTAAAGTAGGTAAGACTAAGTAATACCCCACTTTATAGATGACGAAATATATTATTTCGTCATATTCTAAGTTGATTCAGTTAAAACAGTCTATAAAGTATTTGAAATAAAATTATACAATAAATTTCACAAAATAGGTTGGAAAATTATTCAACCAATAAGAGATCTGATACGACATAAATTTAGATATTATTAATCTTAACATTAATACTACTATCATAAGAAAAGTTGCTTTTATAAATGTGCAAATATTACAAATATTAGTATATACAACCGATGTTTAGATTGTCAGTAATATAGCTGAATGAGTCGTCACTCCCAAACAGATATTTAAACTTACCAGCTGAAATTTCTCTGTCTCCTAGAAGAATATCTTTCAGTGTAAAAGGTGTTGAGGTAAATTTATATCTAGGAAAGAGAAAGCATCGCTTCTTTTTTACCACCAGACTTAGAGGTTGGTATTTGTCAGCCTCGCTGAGGCTTGGAACAGGGACTAATCTCCCTCCATCTCCAACTTGCTTGACAAAGCTCTTGGTAGCGGCCGCAAACATATTAATATGGTATCAAGACGTCATCAATTGCAATCCTCAGATAACAATCCATACTTTCAAAGAAAACCAGGCACAAACCTAAGACTTACTTGATCTTAAATATAATTGAACACATTAAAAATACAACGCATGGTTTCACCAAGTAGCTTACCAGTGTGCAATTCACAACACTGTCTCTCCTGGTGTGCTCAAGTAATGAATTATAGATCAACGGTGTTAAATGATACCCTGAGAGCAAGTCAATTTGGAATTGCAGTCTATAAGCACTAAAACGTACGCAGAAAACTACTGAGCTTAAAATACTACCAATGTCCTTGATGAGGGTTACTGTTGATAGTAGTTTGTCAGTTTTGAGGAAACCTATAGTCCTATGGGAACAATGCAGTTTAGATACTAACATTAGCCCTGGCTCCCATCTACAGTGGACCTAGTCCAAAGGGAATTCCTTCACAACTTCACCATGCCAATTGTGACAACAGTGAAGTGCTATTTTGAATCCTTAGAGTACACAGTTCATTCATTTTCCCTATATGCTACAAAACCAAGTGATTGATATAAAATATAAATTCACAGAATATAGAGAAGCAGTTGCACGCAGGTTTTTATGAAATAACAAATGAAAGCCATATTACATATATAAATGCAGAAATAACTATATAATACTCACATATATAAATATAAACTATGATTTAGGGGTTTCTTACTCTGTAGCTGGCACATAGACAACTCTTTGAAATAGTGCATTTATTTTGTTTCATCATTATTACCTCAGTTACTCAACCTTTAAAGAGAGCTATATCACGTTTGGGCTTGTTTTTAAGATATCGGGGCAAAAAATAAATTTTAGAAACAAACCTGAGTGCTGAAATATTGTACTGCCATAGTTATGTGGATGTTAATATGTTTTGAAAAAGTGGCTATGTGAACTTACAGTAAGATACTCATTAAAACATAATCGTAGGTAGTAATCGCGATACATACATATACAGAGGGGGTGGTAGGAGGAAGACAGAATAGGCTAATTGAAGCCTCAAATAATATAAATCAATTTGATTAGATTCAGGATTCAGCTGTTTTCATTTGCTTGCCAGTATCCAAGGCTCTCGTGTAATCAAGAAAACCCCAAAAACCAAAAAAAGTTTTTAATAACGTCCCTTTGTGTGAACAGCACTGTGCAATCTTCCACATCACAGAGAAAGCACAGGGAGTCATTTCTGTAAGTGACTAACAAACCCCTAGGCGACACATCTACCGTCGCTGTCTGATCCCCACCTAAGGTGGTGCATCCCAGACAAACGCAATTACGACTAACAAGGCAGGTATACAGAAACAGCATTTAATTGGATCCCACAGAAAAGCCTTCGTTACACTTAACAGGCCCTGCTCAGATCCGCCGGCCCAGCGTTCCTCTCGCGACCAAAACCTAAAGACAATGGAAACCACCCGGAGGCAGAGGTGGGGGGGGGGGGTGTCCCCGGACATCCCTGCGAGCTCCTCAAAGCAGGGCGCAGACCGGGAGAGCCCACTGCAGCCCCCCAAGGCGGATATACAGCGAGTCCCAAGCTTCGGGGCCAGGTCCAGGGACGTTCCGTAGCAATTTTGCATTTAGAATCCTGAAATCTTTTTCTTAAAGTGACGCAGCCCCGATCCCTAACCTCCTTCAGCTCCACCACCGAAAAAGAAGCTGAGCCTCAGGCCTCACACACTGTGAGGTTTGCCTCCCAACAAGCCGCCTCTCCGGGCCGGAAACCGTCTCCTTTTAAGGACACAGAACTTGCGGCCACGCCAAGGCCGTGGTGGGGGGTAAGTGCTGGGAATCCGCCAGGCTAAGGCTGGGAACCGGCGGGAGCCAGAGGAGCCGGGACTGGGAAAGGGGCGGAGTCTGGAAAGCAGGGGCGGGGCCGGGCGCCCAGGAGACAGGCGAGCCGGTAGGCGGGGCCCGGCTTGGAGTATGGCCCGCAGCCCGGGCAGCGAGGGGGCGTGGCCGGCACTGCTGCACCGAGACTCCGCCTCCGCCCGTCCCCTTCGCAAGAGGGACGCAAGCCGGGAGGAAAGGGGGAGTTGAGGAGGCGGCGGCGGCGCTGGAGCGCTCCTCTTGGGGACCGGCCGACCCGGGGAGCGAGGACATCGCTCCGCACCACTCTTCCGCCTGCCGCCAAGCCGTCCCTTCCCGCTATGTCCCAGAGCAGGCATCGCGCCGCAGCCCCGCCGCTGGAGCGCGAGGACAGCGGGACCTTCAGGTCAGCGCCCGAATAGTCGGGGCCGAGCCCGGGAGGGCCGGGAGCGGTGGGCACGAGAGGCGGGGCTGAGGAGCCCGCTTTCCAGCGGCATTCTGGGTAAAACCCCTTCTCGTTGCTCTCGCCTCCGCGGCTGCGGGCGGACCCGGGGGCACTCGGCTCCGCCCTCTCGGCCGCGCGCGGGCTGGGGTCTGCGGCCTGGCCCCGCCCCTCTTGCGGCCTCGGGCTGCGCGCGGGGTGGGCGGAGGTGGCGCGCCGCCGCTACCGGGGAGAGGGGTTAATGTGGGCTTGGTCCTGAGAGACCACAGGGAATGACTCCTACCCGCTTTGAAGTTATCTCCCGAAAGCCCTCTTTCACCCTGCCGGTTGCCCGCCGCAGCGGGGCCGGGAGACTGGGGCGCTTCGCCATCTCTGGCGCTGGCCGCAGGGGAGATTCGGCGCCTCCTGCATCAGTGTTGGTGGCAGTCAAAACTAGCCTCTGTATGCTTCTGCTTCCCTCCCCGCTTTGGCATGCAAAGCACACCTTTTTCTGGTTTTTGCAGTTTGGGGAAGATGATTACAGCTAAGCCAGGGAAAACACCAATTCAGGTATTACACGAATACGGCATGAAGACCAAGAACATCCCGGTTTATGAATGTGAAAGATCGGATGTGCAAATACACGTACCCACTTTCACCTTCAGAGTAACCGTTGGTGACATCACCTGCACAGGTCTGTATGCACAGTTAACCCCATGATCATGTGGGTTGGCCGGCGAGCCTTGGTATTGCTTTTCAGTTCGGAAAAGTGACCTTTTTACCAGGGACAGCTGTAAGGAGCAGGCTCTTGAAACTAGAGACCTCTCATCTCAGGTCATGGGGACTTTCCAGCTTCATCTGATTCTCTCCCTAATTTTCTCTTCTCCAGATACCAAGAGAAGCTCAGAAACATCCCTAGGATCCTCCTAGGGTTCTTTTAAGAATTAGGGAGAAGCAGGAAAGGTTCTTGGAGCGACCACAGCTGGATCAGTAGGTGCTGACAAGTTTTATAGTGTCATAGAGTATGGACGATGCCAGGAGCCATGAGCCCAGAATTTTCTGAGCCTCTCCCCTCTTTGTATGGACTCACCTGGCACTTTGGGCCCATTGTACCACACTTGATTCTGTATCCAAGCAAAATGAGGAAGGCGGCACAAATACCGTATTTCATAGCACCGTCTAGTTCCTGACACTGTACCAGTTTTAGTAAGATGTCATCTCCTTTTTTATATGTGAGGAAACAGGTTCAGAGAAATTATCAGTTAACATGCCCAAAGTCACATAGCAGTGAAGTTTCAGAGTTCAGACTCCCCTTATGGTCTGTGAACTTGAACAAATGATAACTAAAGTTGCCATTTGTAAATGTAGGCATTTTGTTTCTTATGTATCTATTTAATTGCAAACAAAAAATAATACTAAATTTAAATCGGAAGAATGCCAAGAAAACAATTCAACGGGAAGGTTGGAGTTGCACCATCTGGTAATCTAAAGGCATCAATTGTTTAGGTCCCTGAAAATCTGGAGTCCACTATTTTCTTTGAAACGACTTTAAGAAAATGTTGAGACTTTTTTATCTAGATGAGGCAAGTGGATTGTAGGTGCTAGCTGGAAGTCTCCTCACAATGAACCACGGGATCTTTGCATTACTCCTGTAGCAGGTCTATTTTTAAATTTTCAGTGAAAATTTAAGAAAAGAAATAGTCCTTTTCCCTTCAATATGTCTTGGGCCAGGGATTAACAACTTATGGCCACTAACCGTTCTGCTTGGGCCCCTGCTCTCCTCACACTGCCCCGTCATCCTATGCAAGTTTATGTGCCTCCACAGCTTCAAGTGCTATCTAAAGGCCAAATATCCTGAAATCTCTGTCTTCATTCAGCCCAGGTCCGGTTATGGAACGGTCTATCAACCTGTGCTTACTGGGCATCTTCACTTGGATGACCCAAAGGCACCTCAGTCTCTCATTGTCCCAGACTGACTCCATCTCTCTTCCCTCAAGTCTGTTCCCTCTGCATTCCCTAGCTCACTAAAGGCACCACCATCACCTGTTGGCTCACACTAGAAAGTTGGGTTTCATTTTCCTGACTCCTCCTTCTCCCTCTGCCTCTTGCCCACTCTTCCACCAAGTCTTACTTCTTAAGCAGCTCTGGCATCTGCCTGCTTCCCTTGTCTCCCCACTGCTGCTGTCTGGGCCGCCGATGTCTCGCACTTGGACCGCAGCTGTTGTCTCGCTGCTGTTCTCAGCCTCTAGTCTCGGGCTGTCCATTCCCCGGATGACCCTGGCATTCAGATCTGTTCGTGTGCTTCTTGCTCTTCACATCCGTTCAGTGGTTTGCCCATCACCTTCTGGTTGAATACAGATTTCTTGATCTGACTTCACGGCCGTGCTTCTCGAAACGTGATCAGCAGCAGCATTACTATCACGTGGGCACTTGATGCAAACCCTCCGGAATATCAGGCCCCATGCCAGACCTGCAGGACTAGAATATGCATTTTAACAAAATTCCCAGGCAATTCCTGTGCACATTAAAGTTTGAGAAGCACAAATTTAGAAGACTGTTCTTGGACCGCTCTCCCTACCCTCCCAGTCCTGTAGCCTTTTATCGTTTCCTTAAGCTCCTACCTCCCCAGCTCCTTGGGGCTCTTGAGAGCCCCATGCTGGGTGTTGCCTCTGAGCCCTGACAAGGGCGCTTTTCTTTGCCTAGAATGCTCTTCTTAACCCCCAGCTCTCTTCATCTTACTAGCTTTTACTAGTCTTTTATGTCTTCGTTCAGTTATCTCTTCCTTCCTGAAACCTTTCTGAATCCTTACCAAGAGGAGGGGAGCTGCCCCTTTCGTGTGCTTCCCCGCCAGCCTGCACTTAGGCTGGTTCTAACACATGCGACTGTATTTCAGATGCCTCTTTACAGACAAAATCCTGCACTAGGCTGTGTGCTCTTTAAGGGCAGGGATTCTGTTTCATACTCCCCAGTGTCCCTAAATCCCTAGGTTAGTGGATAAAGGTGTATGGTTTGTATGTCCTGACATTTGAGGGTTACAGTTGAAATTTATTCCATTATCCTGTTCCTTTCCTCCACACCAGAGAAGTGGATATCAGCACTCTGGTACCACTTTTGAAAGGTTCTCAGCACCTAGCTTGAACTCAGAAAGCAAAAGATTGAATTTACCATTTAACAGGTGTGATGGCTTACTGAAATTAGGCTGCAGTTTCAGTGATGAGTCAGGCCTGTCCCCTGCCACCCTGTTAGCTACTTAGGTAAGGGATATAGATTGTATGGAAGACACATAACATCATCTCTCATGCTCCCTATATAAACCTTCTCCCACTGTACCCAACATGTAGCCAGGACTGCTTAGCCAAACAGAGGGGATTAATGCAGTATAGGATGGACCACTGGAATAAAATTGTGCACATTTTGCTGTCAAACAGTGTT